AGTATCCAATGAAACCAACTAGTGGTTCTTAAAGACGAAAATGCCCCTCCAATGGCTTGGCAGACCGCCAGAATCGTCGATCTTCATCCCGGAATCGATGGTGTTACCCGTGTAGTTACCGTACAAACACCAACCGGCCGCTACACTCGTCCAGTTGCAAAAATCTGCTTGTTGCCAATATCGCCCACGCAAAACAACACCACCGAGAACACCGACCAGTCATTCACAACGAATAGTACCACCACAATACTAAAAGCAAACATCGATTCCAATCCAGATCAGCGAAAATGAAATTAATACAAGGTTCTTTTACATAAAGGACAAGGTAAGAACCTGTCCTATATAATTAATTGCATCGTAACCCGCTACCGGGTCTTAATTTGTTTTTTTATGTTCTCGTCGTCCGATTGTTGATCATAAACAACAACAACATCGCCTTCGCCACAACGAGTGACATCGACGATTCATCAAACGTCAACGGATCGTCATCGACGTCATCGAGAGGGGCATCAATTGGAAGATTGCCGTAAAAGCTCGACGCAGATGTCGCCACTGCATGATGATGATAATGTTGACAGGCTGCATATAAAATTCGTGAAAATTAGCATTAATTCTTAATTTTCATCAAGCCTGCGTAAAATCCTTCCAATATAACATTCGAATTGAAGAAGAAAATGTTTTCACGATCAGACTGATGTGCATCTTTGACTTTTCCAGATGAACTTTCATAAGATATATTCATTTCATTTCACAGCTGCACCAATGCTGCATCGTACATATGATGTAAACAGAAGTAAATTGCTCAATTACTCAAAATAAAGATGATTTGTCATCTTGTTATCACTTTGAAAACCATCTAGCACCATTTTATAGTATGGTGCGTGTTGAGTACATCAAGTTCCGTTACGTTTCCGACGAAAATTGTGAGTATCAATATGTTTACCTTAAAAAAGCCAAAATGAACATTTATTGAATATTTGCGTCCTATACAACCAATTCTCCATTACCACCAGCATGATACAACCTTTCCTAAGTAAATTCACTTAATTTTCACTTTCATCTTAGTGGAAATTGCACATATTCACCATTTTCCGAAAAATGCAGCTGCGCAGGAGGTAACCTCTCCTTGTGGGTGCAAACTTGTTATGCATAATTTTCCATGAAAACATCTCCGATCCATACCGAAATAGTAACAGTTAGCTTTCAAACACGTTTTCTTACACGATTCAAGCAAAAGTTTCCACGGGAAATTATTAGTTTTTCATTATAGACCGATTTGCCCCAAAAATCGTCTGTTTTACTTGGAGAATTTGGAAACTATCCTCCTTCTAGTAGTTCTCACTTCGAAATGTAGGTGGCGAAAGCTTGGAAAAGTTTCACTGCAAGACGCCAATAGGGTTTTATTTTTATCTTCAATGGATAGAGAAACAAATTATTAAAACAAAAACATTGAAAGCAATTTATTTTGAATTTTTCTTACATTTCCATTGATTTTGATACCGTTATCGTCATAAACTCACGGAGCATATAGCAATCATCAAATGGGTTGTAGTTGCGTTGAAGGTTGCGTTTTATTTAGTGGTAGCTGTGGCTGATTTCCGGACTACTGCTGACTTGGCTGGCCAGACTGACCACCAGGTTGTCTTGTATAGGGTTGGAATTGTGGTTGTTCGTCCTTTTCTCGCTGCGCCGGGTCCATCTTCTGCTGGGACGGGACTTGACAATCGGGTAGCGATTTCGAGCCAATTTGCTGTCAAATCCGAGCCAGTTTCTGATTGGTCGATTTGACAGTAGCAATCGTGGAATAAAAAGGACAGAGGGATCGCATCAATCTGGCTATCAGTGATGCCGGAATCAATGTTGACGTGAATGGCATTGTTAATTTTTTTTTATATTTGCGAAAGGAAAGTTGAAAAATTGAGTGCATTGCGTGTTTTAAGCGTTGGATATTGTTGTTTGTTTATGGTTGTTTTTATTGTGTTGAGCAAAAATGATGCACATGTTGCTAAGCTGCGGAAGGAACTCCGCATAAAATCCAAATTAATATAGAATAAATATTATACATTCCTGGCATCCTTGGTCAACTCCGTCAAACACCACGCACAAGTTTCCGAAGGGCATTCTTCAAAAACATTAAGAAGAGTGAGAAGCTCGATTGTCAAGTCCCGTCCCAGATCTTCTGTGTCGTGCCGAGACACTCCTTGGAGAATGCTTTCGTTTTTATTTTTCACTCACTTCACGGCAGCAGGGATGGAGCAGCTTTCTTGTGCTGAAATCGAAGAACATAACGTTCGCAAAAACATACCATCTTCAAAAACAACAGAAGTATACCTTAAACCATTTGGCATTCTACTTCCGGAACACAGTCCGCTGCCTAACAATCGGTTTTCTATGCCATCGCGTACGTTTTCTTTGCAGAGTTCAAAGGGATTCCTATACTATTTTGTTCAATTTTTCGCGCACTGACAAACTTCTCAACAAGAAAAGCTAATTTTCAAAAACAGATTCCTGTCAAACACAACGGATTTATCCACTGAATGGATTCTGCGCCGTTATTCTGACTTAGTATAATCATAGAGGTAACTCTAAGACCACTGGGTCCCGAAGAAAATCATTATTATTTTTGGCTCACTCAGTACCAGAACAACGGTCCCAAGCAGTCCCAAGCTATTTCACTCACCCCTGCATGTTCTGCATGAATCCACACACCCCTGATGTTATCTGTCAAACTTTCATAGCAAATCAAAACAAACATAGTGTAGTAATAGAATTTCAACTAGAATAGGGTACGTTAATCGTTTGCTTGGGACCAATAGGCTACTAAAGTGGTGAGCCAATTTAAAATCGTTAGTTTCGTATTGATTGTTGGTATAATTATGAAGTTGAATTTTAATATTATCAATGTATAAATATTACATAACCAGAAAATGATTAAATTTTATTCTATCGTTTTTTAATAATATTTTTGAGTGTAGGCTTACTAAATGTATATGGCGTGGTTCTAATAAGCGTGGTTAGGTCCACAAAGGGCCTTTTTTCTTTATCTTTGGCAGCGATTGTCCTGGAGCGAGCACCATTGTGTCCGAGGTCAAGTCCGGCATAATCGGAGAGTCCATTTTGGAGAGGCCATTGTGGAAAGGCCACGTTGCAGTGGAAATAGCAACTCTCTATGCTGATTAGTGCTGGCACCGTCGAGAAATTGGCACAAGATACCGGTAGATAATTGCCAGTTACCAGAATCGGGCATATTCGCTAGAGTAACCACCATCCGCTTCACCACTGCCACCACCTCCACCACCGCCGCCACCGCCACCACCTCCACCACCACTTCCACTGAGTAGCAGAGGGGTTTACAAATTTTCTTGGAATACTCTCCAGAAATCCAGAAATTGTCCTCAGAATTCAATATCCTTGAGGTTCTAATCGGATTTTTTTAGAACTCTCCTAAGAGCTCTTTTGAAATTCTTCTCAGAAGTCCACTGGAATTATGTTTAGAACTCTTCATGATTGTTTCTCAGAACACCTTGGAACTGAAATTCCTTTAGAGTTTCAGAAATTTTTCCCGGAATGAGCTGGAAATTATCGTATTGAAATTTTCCTTAAAATCCCTTTGGAATTTCATTAAAAAATTTGTTTTCTCTGTATTCTTTTCTAAATAATCTTGGAACTATCTGCAGGATGCACACTCCGCTGAATTTTCTTTGAATTCTCCCCAGAAATATTTTGGAACTGTCTTCAGAATTCAATATCCTTGAGGTTTTTTAAAGTTATTTTAGAACTTTTTGGCCTAAACTTTCAGAAGAAATTCCTCTGTATTCTCCAGAAATTCTTCCCAGAATGAGCTTGAAATTATCCTCGGAATTTTCTATAAATTTTGCTCAACATCCCTTTGAAAAGTAATTGCAAATTTGATTATCTCAGTATTCTTTTCGAATTGTCTGACTATCTGTATGTCTGTCTGTCTGTCTGTTGGTTCGAGACCCCTCCCTTCTCTGTAACGGGGGGCTTCCATACAAATGAAATATAAATTTCTGCATAACTAGAGAACTAATCAAACAAATTGAACCAAATTTGACATGTGGAGGTCATAGGGGGTAGCCCCTCAGATAAGGGGGGTGGAGCTACGAACAATATAGCATGCTTTTTTGAATTGGCGGATAAACTCCCGAACAAGGCCGGGCACACTCAGCTAGTATAATATAATTCGGTGATACCGACAGTGTCGCTATATTCATAGTCTGGCGAATAGAATTTCGATCTATCCAAAAGCAGAACCAACAATTGAAAAGGTACTACCAACTTTTATAAAAAAAAAAACTTTGATAGTTCTTTCCACGCCAACCGAACGCAAATTAACAGCATCATCGCATAGAGAAATCTTTTCACAATCCGATGATGGTATTGGTTTGCGTAGACGAGCTCATTCATGAGAAAAGGGCTTCCGAAGTTTTGTTCCAAAAGCTTATGTGCTCTTTTCTGTTGTTGGTTATGATATGCTCGATTGGTTCCACTATTTGACAGCTCAATTGGTTCCCGAGATTCTATCCATCAAACTATAAATATAGCGACTATACAATTTATGTATCACTTTGGAGTATCTATAATGTTACATAAGATATTTCCCTGTAAGCTAGTACAAAAACCGCATCAAGTTTTGATTTTTCCGTAGACATATATTTAAAATTAAAACAGGCTGCCCACTTAAAAAAAAGTTTTTGAAAGTGCAAAATTATTGTAAAAAGATTGTGTGCAAAACCTGATTGAAAGAGAAGGAAGAGTTTGTAATGTTGAATGTGAAGAGTTGATCAGCTAATATGATGTTAATAATAAGTTCAAAGGAAGCAACGCTCAACTTCTACATATTTTTTACCGCCGATGTTCTTCCTGAACAGAATAAATAGCGAAACGTACAATTCATCCGTTTATTTACACAAAGAACCGGTAGGTACACCCATTCAGTTTTGCTACTCACATTCTTGACCACTAATTCCTCGGTCAGTCTTAAGTTGACCGGTCGCGAGTACAACACGTGGTGCCGAACGTCGAAGCATGCTGGTGCGTTTTCGCGCAAGACCTCTTGGAGCTGCGCGCCTGCTGTGATTCAATATAAACATTTGTTTGAAATTGTACTAACGTTTCTGTTAATATAAACAACGCACGAGATTATGAAAAATGGAGAAACAAAATAAGTGTGATCCAGAGAATAAGAAAAGTTCTACAATGAAAACTGCGAGTTTATCAAGTTCAAACCGTGAACCAATGTCAACGACTTCGCAAGCAAATTCAAACACATCCCGACCTAATCGAAATACCACGCGTCGAACGCACCATATCGATACGACACCAATATCGACTGTGGATTCAAGGGTATGCACACCAGAACATAAATGCATTGCCATATATTCTTATTGCTGTTCCAAATTATCCATTCGTGTAGATCTGTGTTTTACTTATACCAAATCATCTAAAAATATTTTACGACCTTTTGGCGGCTCATATAAACAATTTATATTAACAATTGATAGGTGATGTGCGCCTCAGGAATGAAATTCCGATTTTGCTATCTTTTTCTGTTTCGACCTTGTGTAAACAATATCGGTTGTGGTTGGAAATGGAAAAAAAATGTCGTGTTCTTGATTTTAAAACAAGGATCAATCTATTGATTCATGATTCATGTAATGGGAATGACTCATGTAACATGATTGATTTTTTCCCGGTATTTGGACGTTCGTCTTTCACTAGAATATGCTGGAGAATATTGGAAATAGGACTGGTACAGCAAAAAGCAAAAGCATGTTCGTGTACTTTCTGCACCATACTATTTCTTACAGCAACCTAACAGAAATCTGCAGTAAGTTACAGCAAAAGCAAAAGCAAAAAAAGCACGGGGACAGACCTAATACAGGTATAACACTACACAGCAAAAAATAAATTTGAATATTACATCCAAGAAGAAAATCTCATGTAATTTGTATGGCCACAAAAATAAATAAATGCAGTGAAAGCAGCGTAATGGCAGTTCATAACACTGTATTAATGATAATTTTGTCTCTTTTGGCAAGTAATATTACACCATATTTTCGACACGATTGAAGTGCATCCACTTTGATGTGTGACTAGAATTAATTTTGTGCTGTGTATTATAAGCATCCGTATAATATTTGAACAATGGGTTTATTTATAAAGGTGTGCGAGTAGGGTACACGCAATTGGGGGACCCCCGTGATCTGGCACGCCATCACGGGGAATCGAATAAAAGTGAATCGAAACTCATCGAACACCCGTTTCTCTGCCTTCAGATCAGAGCTACGCTGGGTAACTATTTATCTTCGTCCCACCTACGTAGGTATGTTGCAGGGCAGCATCTTCATGTTAAAGGCTGCCAGGAAAATCTTTCGGCAGTGGATCCCATCAATTTTTTTTTTGACTCCGTCCCGTTCAATACAGAAACGTATAACCATTCACAAGCCCTTTTCCCCACTAGAATGATCGTTCAAGAACTCCCTAACTTTACCATCTTTTCTTACAAAAGATTTACTAGGCTCTTCGCATGATCGGATTGATCTCTTTTTGAATAATAAAACTTATTAAAGTATCGGCCGGCTATTAAAATATGTTTCTTATCTTACATCACTCCGACGAGAAATAGCTCTCCTATATAGGTCTTTGGTATCACCTACTCCTACAGAGAGGCACATTAGACCCTACACATGAAGAACTAGACCACTGACAGCATACAAGACTCTCGGCACTTATGAGAGCTAAAAGATACTGAGTGGTTTGGGGTGTGAGCTTTTATTCATAGGCTAAGGTATCTTATATTACATAACAAAGAACGGATTTTTAAATTTAAAGAGATAGATCTATCGATTGCAAGCGTAACGGTTTTCATTCAACTATGGTTTTATATGTTCTGCGGGCCAAATTCCAATTGTTTTTTTTTCCCATCGTGATCCTCTAGTTCATAAGAACTAGTCCCGTGTTTTGCCACGACCTTACAGGGCAAATAAATTGGTGCCAATTTTACATTATAATACTCATCTGCGTTGGATTGCTTGAAATTGCGCCGATACACTTGCTGACCTACTTGAAAATCCTCTGGCCGTGTTCGTTTACGCATGTTGTATTGCTGAGTGCCAAGTAAGTAGGCTTTAGTCAAGTTTTTCTTGACAATGTAGTAAATATCTTCGTTTATTTTTTTCTGTTTGTCGGTTCGATCATCGAGTGAATATTCTTCTTTTCGGCGCATCCTCAGATGGTCATTTCCGCTTATTGCGATCTCATGTTTTCTGGTCACAAAAAACAGTGTCAATCCAGTAGCTGAATGAACGGTGTATTAAATACACTGAAGTCTTTTTTTACACGGTTTTTTTTACGCGGTTTTTTTGCACGTTTTTTTTTTACACGGTTTTCCACGATTTACACGGTACGTTTTTAACGATTTCTCGACAACGATACAACCTATCGACTTGCATTCAATCACATTATCCGTTTCAAGCTATAGGTAATCGAATGGCATACTTAAAAAAAATCACAATTTTTGGTGTAAATACAGAAATGTTTAAAATATGTCTATATGGACCATATCGTGCTTTAATTACAAATGGCATCAAAATCCGAGTTTTTAAAAACATTTAAGCATGCCAAAAATCAAAATCTCGTAGGTTTTTTTTTACACGGTACGTATCCCCCGTGTAAAAAAAGACCTGAGTGTACATGCTCGATGTCGGTGACTTTTAGCGGCGTTAATCGATCGGTATAGTCTCTCTACTGGGTTTCCTTGACTATGGTGACGAGAAATAGTTCAGTGCCCATGTTGAACCAACAACGCCTTGAACTCTTTAGAGAGGAAGGTGCTTGCGTTATCGGTCAACACAATTTCTGGGATTGAGTTTCGAAGAAACCATCTTTCTCGCAAGATCTTACAGAGGTTTCCGACTTCGATTCGGCGAACTGGGTGTATTTGACACCACTTGCTGAAAAGATCCTGAATCACTAATATATGTATGTTTCCCGCTTTGCTTTTTGGCAGCGGACCTATATAATCCATCGCTATTATCTGACTAAGGGTGGTCGGCTATCTTCTGCTTGCCCATTATAGGTACTGTTGGACCTGTGGCTGGTTTACTCTCTTTACAAATAGTACATTTCTGTTCCACTGCGGCCAATAGTAGCGGAGTTGTAGACGGCACAACGTCTTCTCAACCCCTCGATGAAAGCTATTTTCGTGTTCCTGCTCAACAATGCGCTGTCGGTTTCCAGGCGGCGGGATCATCTTCCACTCAAACCTCACATCAAAAGGTTCTTCATCGAGCGAAACATACTTCCAAAGCTGTCCGTCTTCGAAACGGAAATCAGAGTATTCCTCCGGCCCTTCTTGTACCTTCTGAATCAGGTCTTCATATGATGATGTATCTAGCCTAAAAGCTTGTATAGCGCAGATGCTGCGAGACAACGCGTCCGGTACGATGTTATCAATTCCTCGTCGGTGTACGAGTGTCATGTCCAGATGTTGCAGATCGAGACTCCAGCGACTTAATCTGGACGATGGTCGCCACTTATTTTTCCGAATGTCCTGGAGCGCAAAGGCATCTTTCACTAGCGTGACTCGCAATTTTTCCACAGCTATAAGCACGGCTAGTGCTTCTTTTTCCGTTGCCCAATAGTTTTGTTGAGCTGCATTCAGCTTCTGACATACGAAACAAATTACCTTCTCTGACCCTTCTGACTCAAATGCAAGAGTTAGCACTCCGGCTACTGCTCGATAACTCGCATGCGTTTGTACTATAAATTCCTGTTCAAAATCGGGGTGAGCGAGAATCGGGGCTGCAATTAGCGTTTCTTTGGTGATCCGAAATGCCTCGTCTGCTTCCTTAGTCCATCGTATTATCTTCGGTTTCCCGGCGAGAAGATCTTATAACGGAGCTGTTATGGTGCTGAAGTCTGGTGTAAAACGCCGGTAATAATTGACCATTCCGAGAAAGCGTCGTACCTGTCGGATGGTCTTTGGAGCTTCAAAATCTAGGATTCCTTGCACTTTTGAAGGGTCAGGTCTGAGCCCATCACAGGACAATAGATATCCCAGAAGCGGAAGTTCGGATCTACAGAATCTAGATTTTTCAATGTTTATCGATAAATTGGCGTTTTTCAGCCTCTTCGCCACCTCTTCCAACAATCGAATATGATCCTCGAACCTGTCACTGGCCACAATTAAGTCGTCCAAATGTTACCAACAACTTGTGAAAATGGTCCGGCTCAAGGCAGGATGTTCAAGGAGGATAGTTAAGGTTAGGGTGAGTTCTTTTGTTTATGATTTATAACCCTCATCTAGGGTGACAAATAATAACCCACCCTCTTAACGTGTTTGCCATGAGCGTGTGCCTTGTCTGTTATGATTTATTTTTGTTTTGGTCGCACGTTCGGCAACATACTCACCACTGCTTTATTTTAAAATATTTTAATTCGTTATTTTCATCGTAGATTTTATTCGTGTAGGCATGTTTTTAGGATTAGAATATAGAGAATAGTGACGTTTAACGCACGCACACTAGCGGGTGCACCGCCGTGTAAAGTTGTTTATTATTTTCCTCTGGCAAACCTAAAAAATGTATAAAATTAGATCTGCCAAAATGAGTTTGACAGCGATTTGTTATGTATTTTCCTCGGATTTTCACTAACACGCTCTCACATATCGCACCAATACAATCGGACGTGAAAATCTCTATACACTCAAAAAATTTCACACGTTTGATCGAAGTGTTTAAACACTTGATTTTCTAAATGCACAATCACATTTACTTTAAGTGTATTTCAACTTGGTTCAATGTGTTATACACGTTAATTTATAGTGTTTAAAACTTTGAAATGTTGAAAATCTTTCACTATCTATTCAAGTGTATTGCACATTGAATCACGCTACTGTTCAAAACAGATGGATTTAAAGTGTTTTGCATTTCAATACGATGTAATTGCTTGCTCAGAAAGGTAAACATCGATAACAAGAGTTTTGACTTTATCCTATCAACCTGCCTCATATATGAGAACAACCGTGGCACAGTGAGATCGAACGAAGACTCCGGCAGCAGCATACCCCAACAGTCCATGATCGAATCCCAAATCAGACCCATTAAAAATATATGTGAAAGCTCTGGCCTCTGGCAGTTTTGTTTATATATTTGTCGATTCATTTTTAGAGTCGGTAAAGTAGAATTCGATAAAGTAGAATATTGTAGAATATTGAACTATGGTGTGCAAAGCTATTGATATCACCATACACAGCAAAAAAAAATGTAATATCGATCAACGTAATTCAAGCTGATGTATGAAATAATGATGTAATAGCAAAAAGCAGATACAATTTTACATCA